ATTCGACTGCCCTAAAATCTTTGTCCTTTGGATCGACGAAGCAAGGGAAAAAATCTCAAAACATCATTAATTAATATATAACTAATATCAGTGCTCGAATTAGGGGGAGGGTGCGCTGGGGGCGGAGCTCCTCTACTATTTTTTTTTTTTTTGCGTACCCCAACTATATTTTTTCATCGGAACGGGGGGACGCCACGTTCATCCGAATTTATGTCCAAAATAATTTTTATGTGAATTTCAATTTACGTCAATTTGAAAACGAATTTTACAATTTATAATATCAAAACTATTTTCATAATTAATGATTATATGGTGGTTATGATAAGGGACAACGTCGTCATTTCTGGAAAATATAAATAGCAATGTCTGTGAATTTGGTGTATTATACTTTATACATTGTACAGTTTTTTATTAATATTGGCGATCGACGATATCGGCATTTCGGAAAAAAATAAATGACCGCACCACGACTAATTTTAGGCCATGGCCCACAATAAAGAGTAAAAATAAATGAAAACAAAAACCAAATATATGATTATATCATTCGATTCATGAAACTGCCTAATTGCCTACAATTATGTTAATTATTATTTTATTTTTATTTTCTATTGAACATGTAGGATGTTGGTATTGCTATCAAAATATATTATATTTGAAATTAAAATATTTGTTTAGCTAAAATTTGGTATTCAAAATATATGTATGTTTGGCGGTTGGTAGGAGTGAGGAACGAAGCGAAAATAATTGCGCACGTGGAACGCAGTTTTCGAATCGTTGGACTGAGCTCCTCTACTTAATTTTTTCTCAATTCGATCACTGACTAATATAACTTACATATAAGTAGTACGATGTACTTAAAAGTATAATAATATATATTTATGTAGTCTCGTGTGATAACTTTAGATTATGAAATCTCCTTGTACAGCACTTTACTCTTAAAAATTCATCGCAGAAAACTTCTGGTATATCTCGTATCCAAAAGTTTATGTTATAGTCATGGACGTTCGCTTGACGTTTTCAGAGGTATTTTTTTACCGATATGTAACAAATTGTGTCCGACGGTACGGATCGTCAGTAGTCGTATACGTATCACGAATAATAACTTAAGGACGCAATGACGTGTTTTAGTGTACACATAAGTATTTTATTATACCGGTCAATCGCAGTACATTGTCTGTAGAGAAAATTAAACGAAGCTTGTTGTATATGCTTAGTAATTTTATTACAGAGACTAAAATTGTGTGCAGTACGACACACTGTGTAATACGAAATGTTAAGTGTGCAGTACAAAATTAATGCTTTATTAGCGTGCCGATCCCATTAAATTGAAATCGTATTTATGTTAATTGCTGCACGTCGTATTTGAGCGCACGGTTGCACGGAAGTCGTCCGGCGTGTTATCTCTTTCCTCAAGAAAAATGCGACCGTTTCCGTGCATGTTAGTTTTTGAACCCTCCCATTCTCACAATTAAATGCACTCTTTTTTTTCAATTTATTTCTCCTACCTGCTTCGTCCCGTGCTTATCGCTATTATTCCCTTGTCTTGTATACCTTTAGAATTTCTTCGGAAATTCGTGAATCGTTGCAGACGACGACAAGCAACCGCAGCCGACAAAGAATTGGTTCTACCTATGTGGCGGCGATATTATCGCGTCTATGCTCCTGCTGCTTCCAGCAGTGCGACGACGATGGCAGGTCGGAGGCCCCCAGATTCATTTATTTTCGGTCACCCTTACCACGGTTTCGCCAAAAGAATTATTATTATAATAGTGTAACGTAGTTATGAACGTATTATAGCCTTTTCTCCTTGCCGGCGTCGACTGGTCGTACATATTGTTATGAATAAACCAAACGACCAAACCAACCTAAAAAAACCCATTGAGGAAACATAATATACTGCAATCGGGTTACAAAATACATTGTAGCATACGTTATTATGAAGAGATCATTTTTTGTCGTAGAATTCTTTTCATCCGAATAAAATTTCTCCCATGTATTTTAAGGACTGCAGAGCCAAATACGAATTCTGTTTGTTTTGTTAATTACTCTGTTACGATTGGTGTTCATCTTTTGATTTAAGTATATATTGTTGTATTTTTGAGGATGGCCTCGCTCGCTAAAATAGACGCCTTTTTTTAATGATGAAAGTGTTTTGAACTCCAGAACTAAATCCAAGAAATTTGTAACATTATACAGTTACTATAGAATAATTTTTGTAGTAATAATAAATTGTTTTTTTTTTATGTTTAATTTTTTTTAGATATATTGGTACCTATAGTTACACAAATATTATTTAAATATCGTTTTATGTCTTATTAGATTACATATAGAACACTTCCGTTTTTATTTATATATCAAAACTCTTTCAAAATTGTTATTTTTTATTTACGTGTATATATTCATACATATTATTAATTTCGTCCGACATACGAACGATATATATTTCCACTGCCACTGCCGGACATATGCGCGTATGCAAATCCGAATTATACGGTCCACAAGTCATTGTATCCGCATAACCCAAACAATATTTTTACGATTCTCCACCGTCAAACGTTGTTTGTTATTAGTACGGAACGATTTGGTTTGTGCTCATGTATTTTATAAAGATGTATATGTATAATTGTGTATGTGCGTGCGTGTGCGTGTGTGAGAGTATAGAGTATAGCGAAAAACTAACGTACGATAACTAATGGTACATATTTTTGTCGGTGTATGTATATATCCTGCGCAGAAATATTATTTTTGAATAGTTATTTTTCTCCCTTAAATAACTCTCCCCTCAATGTTGTTTTTGTGTCGTAAATTTCGCATCACTTGGTAATGCTAATAAACGTGTATCTCTCTCCTTGATTAGTTTACATATTGTATACGTATATGTATATATAAAAATATTATATTTATTAAAACTCACTTTGTTTTAAACAGTCGAACAAATAAAGATAACTCCGATTTTCCGGTAACTTCAATTTGTGCTGTCGAGGAGTCTCTTGCCACTGTAACTGACCGTATTCGTTGAACTGTTAAATTGGTCGATTGTTATTACTTCCTGAGGTGGTGCGTGGTAATGTGTTCGTGCAATTGTATAGCTTTGTGTTTGCTACCGATTGAAGTATATTCTGGTGCGAAGTGTTCGACTGGAGGACTTGGGGCTCCCGCACGCTCAAGTCGACCATGAAACAACAAACACTATATACTCGTATTTGAGTGCGTAGTTTAGGCCGGAAAGCGTTATCCGCGTCCGAATGGTGACGGGCAGGAAGAGATACGGTTCTTCTATTTTTTCCTATTTTTTATTTTTATTTTTTTAATGAGTTTCGATGATTATATACACGTCCAACAATGAATGCAGTGTTGGGAAAATTAATTCCAATCTCTACGTGCAAGTGTGACTACAGCCTATACGAATATTTTTTTCGACCCACTGTTTAATATTATATTGGTATATGTACATCTACAGAGTAGTGAAATGAACATTTTAAGTAGGTAGTGTTCTTTAATATCTATAGATATACTATATGTATCTATACCTATGTAATTTCTAAGTCCAAGGATTGATGGTCTATTCATCGCTGTTATTATTCGTTTGTCGATCTTAATTTATGAACATAAATGTCATATGTTCGTAGATATCTTATGGTTTAGATAATCTACGTCAAGTTGCGGTAATTTAAGAATAAATTCCTATTTTTTTTTTTTTTTTTTGTATATTAACGCTCGTGCAATCGATGAGACCACCAAGAAGCGAGGCTGACTAAAATATTTATAAATTCGGATAGCAGATAACATGCTGAATTCGTTTTTTTTTTCACTGAAACTAACGAAGACGTCTGTGTTTTTGAACAATGATGTAATTTACTCGTGATTGTTATACATAGTATACATAACATTTTTTGATTTAGTAAAAATGCATATTCGACAGATAAATAATTTATTATTGCTATAAAAGCACGCAATCGTGTAATGACTGCTCAAATCAAAACTATTTTCTGAAATATCGCAATTTATCAAAATAATTTTCTTGTTGAATTTGATGTTTTAAAGTTTCCATGATTGAAAACCTTCGGTCTAAACGAAATTGATTCGCTCGAACGTGCAAATCATTCGGTTATAATATCCCGATGTATAGTGCATGTGTATTATCTTGTTACTATTTAGTTTGAAATGTATGTATTGTGTCCACATGTTGTCTATTATATTCTAATGTAGTAGTAGCAGTAATAAAATAGTCCGTATCGTCGTCGGTGGTGGCGGCGGAGGTGCTGTGGGCATAAATATATGTAAGCAACGAGGTCAATGTCTCCGATGTTGCAGCAAGTATTGTTTTATGTTTACGTTCACGACCCACATGATATAGCGCATTAATGTAATGTAAATATTGACCTTTTTCGCGCACGAATGTCACACTTGCTTGGAGACCGCCTGGTCGTGGTCTTGGAAGTAAAACTCCAAAAACAACCACACGACAGAGAAACGAACAACACGTGTTTATGTACAAGTACTTACATATATTCTATACATTTTTCTACTTAACCCCGAACGATCCGTACTATAGAAACTGAAATAGACTTTATAAAAAAATAAAAATGGCGCATCTCGTGGTGGACTCCAGTATAAGGGTTTTGCTACTTTTCTCCCCACCCGTCGTGTTTTACCGAATTGGTCGGTTTTACTTTATTCTGAATTTTTATTAGAATATCAATAATTTCCTCCTCGTCATTTTACAATAGATTTTTGTTAGCTTGGTTTACGTACTCTTTAGCTGGTGATCAGAGTTCTAAGTAACATTTCGCATATCTTCACTAGCTCATTCCTAGTGGTGCAATTCATTCCCTTTTTCTCTTTGGCCTTGTCATTAACTTCATACAGTATATTGTTCGTATTTGTTTGTTCCGCTCGCCGTCGTGATGAGAGTTAGCCAACGAGTGTTGGTTTTATTCTTTTTTCGTCATAATCTCAATTTTAATTCTAAATTAATTAATTTTTTTCTCTCGTTTCAGTGTTGCGATGCGTGCGCAGGATGGCCACTCAGTCACGGCCGGTGTGGAGTATTGACTCACCTGGTAGCGCCTGACTTCTCCAGCCCCGGCGGCGTACCGTCGTCGGACGCGTACCTGTTGTTGGACGTGGCCAGTGCCGGGCTGACGCTGAACTGGGTTGGTGCGGGCGCCCGGTTCCGAAGCCGCCTGTCCACGGACACCGTAGTCATGTTGGCCGATGACTTGCAACAACTGTGCACCACGCTCAAGCACTTAGTAGCCGTGGTTGACCGATCGGTGCAGCGGGTGCCCCTCGACAGGATCAAGTACCCGTGTTATGGGTGCAAGGACCGCATGTGTGTGCAGTCCACGTCGTGTCAACAACAGCCGTCCTCGAATAACGGAGACAGCACCGTGACCGTGACCGCCGCATCAGCCGTTCAATTGCAGCGGCAACAGTACGAAAACGTTGTCGGCGATGAACACGCGTACGACGATATGGACAACTCCATACCGCACATTGACTCGGACCCGGAAGACGTGGCACAGGATAGTAGACATCAGAAGGTGGACAACAACGTTGCAGGTGAGTCATGCTGAAATACGTGGACTATTATTTCATTATAGTTATTTTGGTGGATCGTGTATCCCATATTTAGGTCAAGTATACCGTGGTTTCTGTATTCAAGGTCTGGAGTCAATTTTTTTCTTATGATATTTAATAACAAGCCGCACAAAAATCAGTAGATTATCCATAGAACCATGCCATAGTTGAATATAATAAAAAAAAAGCCCGAACGGCTTATAAGGATGGCTAAAATATTGGATGTATGACGGGATGATTATGATGATCAATATGTCCTAAAAAGAAGAATTAATATATATTATACAAATTTTAATGTTGATATTTACGTTTCCTAAATATTGCATACTAAAGATGCGAGCGGCTGATGAGGAGAGACCGTTCACCTGCAATGCATATCGCTAAACTCACATTGTATTGATAATAATAATTATCAGTATTTATAGAAAAAGTTATCTTAAATGGTCCACGATAAGAAAAAAAAAACAATGGAGTCGTGATTCCCTGCTATTTATAGTGATACTTTTTGATCTCGATACCGTCATGAGTGCTTTTCAATCTTGTAGTAGAAGAAACTGTCTTGAACGGTGTATAAGTATAAGTGTGGCTAATGTGAGAGCAATATTTTCAAAATAAACTTTCACGGTATTGTAAGAGTTTAAAAAATACCGTCATTTATTACAACGTTTTATTCAAATGTTAATAAAGCTGTATAGAAGAGGGTAAAAAATACTGCTCTTGCTGCTAATATTGTGAAAGATGATCGGTAAACAGCTGATCTTCGGTTAGACTAAACAATTATATTGTTTTCGTACGTGTCGTTGATTCATCGGTATGCATTGAGAGTTTTGTACGCCAGTCAATATTGAATACAGCACAATATTTGAATGACGAGTAATATATAAATTTAGTTTCTGGTTGGGTACTAGCATTGATTATAAATAGTACTAACTTGTAGTAACTATTTATAATCAATGGTACTAGGTACTTCGAGTTGGGTACGGGTTGGTTTTAGATATTTAGAACGTCAACGGTTGTCTCTCTGAATAGAAATATATTACAAAGTCTACAATAACATTAGGAGCAGCAGGAGTACATATTGGTCAATGAGATCGTATATATTTTTATCTGTATTCCAGCAATAATACATTCAACTATGTATGGATTTTATATATATCACGACGTTTGTGTTTTCAATACTAAAATGTTCGTTTCTATTTTTTTTTTCTGTTCGATATTTTCTGATAATATATAGCCTGTTGTGGGCTTTTACCTGCAGTATAATATAATACAAATGAAATAACGTGTATTTTTCCTCGGCACGTGTGGCTAATTATGAAATTGTCGTATTAATAGTGGCGCAGCGGACTACCAGACGATTGTCATGAAAACAACTGTTTACTCGTATTATTATTACCATTCGGTTGTAGGTACGACTGCGGTCGTCGATAGACTAGACTTCTCGCGTGCGTCACAGAATTCCATTATAATATTATAACTATAATACAATATATATTATAAAATGTGCCGTGTACTGTTATTGTACGGCCAATTTGTAAAATTACATAAACGCGCTTATGTTATACGTGAACCGAGACAGAGGATGAGCAGATGCAGACGTAATTTCAGACTGACGAGTGCCATTTCACTTTTTGTTCTTCACGGCTTTTTCACTCTCCGTATCAGTAAATAGAAAAAGACGCACTTGTATATCTACAATTCATCTTCAAATCTCGACATGTGTTTTGAATAAATTCGTCCGTGCTTTTGCACATTAATTCATAGATGAGGTTATTTCGTTTGTTACATTTATGTCAAATATGCTCTTGAAAAGTCGCGAATTTATTTTTATTCGTATATATACGAATACACCCAGTGGTAACGTGTATCGGCATGTACTGTATCAGCCTGCACACATTATATTCTATGTTATATATGCTAACCAGTTACCATAAAAAAATGTTCGTCGAATCTTATAGTGGTAATCTGTCAGGGAAAGTTTTCGAGGTAATTTCCCAGCGCGTTCTGGATTTTCACATTTTTTAATACAAATACTCCTGTCTACAAAGTTTAAATAATCACAGATAAATAAAATCATCAATAAATCATCACAAATTTAAACGGATGAAATCTGATCTATAAATTCCGGTAATTTACAAATTTTTAATTATTGTATGTATTAAAAATCGCGTGTCACATAAAGTAATTCTTATTATGTAATATGACCGAATAAATTGAAAACCAGCGTGGTTCGTGCAGCAATAATTGAAAATTGAAAATATAATATTATTATCTACATAAATTGTTTCAGTTTGTGTGTGGTAAGATATAATGAGGTGTGTGCGTGTGTCAAGCGGTTTGGTTTCCAAAGGGTTTTGTTAAACCAAAACTCAGACAAACGCGCGTGTTTCTTGCGATACAATGATTATTTTAAATAAAAATTTAAACAAATATAAAACCCGTCTTGCAATGTTTCTTCCCACCAGTCATTTCTTCCCACTCATAGTGATCGAATACTATCAGTCAACCAACGAATTGTTTTGTACAAGACTCTAGAGCATTTTATAAAATTATGTTTTCAACTTGAATGGAATTTACTTTAACATGAATTTCTCGTCGCATTATTTTTTCCCACGCCTAAGAAAAATATGTAATCGCTACATAAATCCATTTTATAATGAATTATTACTGAATAGAATGTACTTAATGTAAATCAATATTAACTACACAGCTAGCGGTTTTAAATATTTCTTTTTGAAAAGCCTAAAATATGTTTCCTTCTTAGTAGTATGGTATTGAAAAAAATAAATTGGCAGATCATCGTTGCGATAGTGAATAAAAAATAATTGGGGATTATAAATTAGTGTATAATAAAAACGGCACAGTCTAAAATACACACATAGTTATTATGTGGTGTGTATGTATATTGTATACGTACCACATAGTATAAATATACTGTATTGCCCCAAGTAATAATTACTCGACCTCATTAATATAATTTGAACTCGGACGTAACTCAATATGTATCTTAATACACATTAAGTATGGGTGTGCATCGATATAGAGAGAGTTGTACAATATTTTTAGGACTTTTAGACGATTTAGTTTTATGAGTTTTTTTTTTATTTTCCGAGGTGAGGTCTTATGAATAAATTACCCGATCATTTGTGCTTATTAAGCGAAAATTTCTCAGTGCACTTAATTCTCTTTTATGCGTGTTTTTTTTCCATTTTCGATAGTCTAAGGGTACCCTCATCTCTTTGTAATAACATTATATTACATGTACCGAGACTCTACGATGACAATGGATCGGGATGGGGAAAATAGAAATGTAACAATAATAAAGTCGCATAAGTAACTACTAACCTAGGCCCGATTTTTTTAGCTGAGCGTCGATGTATCGCTGGTATTCAATTCCTTGCAGGGTCATAAAACAATGATATCGATTCATCTATCCTAATTTCTCTAATCTGTTTTAAAGTTCCATCTCATTTATTTCCTTCCTCAGTCTCCTTCATGTTCCGTTTTCTACTACCAATTATATGGCTAATGAACCTTTAAGGCATCTTATGTCGATTGCCAATGCAGATTCTGCCTTTAACGATTTGTTAGTAACTTGATTAGTGGCGTACATTCGATCTTGCTCTGGGGGGGGGGGGGGATTTAACAAAAATAATCGTTTTTTTCGTTGCACAGATAAATAAGATAAATAATTGCTATAAGCAAATATTATTTTATACAACTTTTTTACCAATTTATATAAAAATAGCATACTTAACAAAACTTTTTAAACACCTATCAATATAATTATTTAACTATCATAATATTTGTATAGTTGTATATTTTAAGTTTAAAGCGTAATAATGAAACTACGAATATATTACACGTCATCAATAATAAAACAATTTTCTTTTTTCTTTTTTGCCCTGGGAGGGGTTTGAACCCGGGGACCCCCCCCCCCCCCCGTATGTACGCCACTTAACTTGATTATAATACACTATAGTAGGATGATTTGGTATGTTATATATTATTGTACAATATTAATTGTTATCCCAATGTTGTATGTTCAAAAAGGGCCCAGTCCCTTAAATAAATAAAACAACGGTGTTTATAACTCATATTATTATTATTATTATTATTAAATAAAAAATCATTATACCGTATAATCGACAAAGTCATAAACCGTACACATTCCGGTTCTTCACAAAATCAAAACGATTGGTTTGGTCGTATAAAATCGAAGAAAGGAAACCGTTGTACATCAAAGTTGTTGTCACCGCCATCACCGTTATTGATGTGTATTATGCATGTAGTTTGTTTAATAATATAATATCGCGTATTGCGACGGACCGGAAAACGGCAAGCAAAACAAGTTCATTGACTATAATGCACGTGGCCAAAACCACGTAAAATAGTTGCCGACGACGCCACGGCTGACGACGACGTATCACGTGTACGTTCGCGTTATTGTGAAATGTTCAAAAACCTGTAGTGTCCGCACATAAAACATTATAATAACTGCTATTAATAAGATAAAAACTTATCATATATGAATGATAATATATTGTTTATTTGATTATATTAATGAATCTTAAATCATGATCATCTTATATTTAAAACAGGTATTTAAATGAATGCATTGATTTTTGATGTGTTTTGTGTTTTTGATGACAGAGATGCCACTGCTCATACTACGTCGTCCTGTTTTTATAAAAACTCGGTATACATCCGAAAACAGATATGTATGTATTGACTATATAGTATTTGTTTCCTTTAAAAAGTAGTTTCTTTTCTTTGGCACTTTAGTAGAGTTGGAAAGGTGCAGTAAAACGTAGTGCTGTGTATGGTAGTAAAATAAATATCTTACAATAATGCAGTTAATTAATAAGTATTATACTCGTATATTTATTGTTTTATCGTATAGCAATAACCGTCATAAAATAAAAAAAAATTAAAATGAAATAAAATATAAAAATACAATGTAATATAACAATTATTATAAT